GACGCAAATAATTTTTGGACTCAAATCTTTAAATGCCAACGACATAGAAATGATATTAAAAGCAATTATCAGACCACAACAATAACACGAAATTAAAACCCAATCAAATGGATATTAACACTTATATAATATAATAAATTCATAACTGTACAATTCATATATATATATAATAAATACACAAAATAATTTCAGTTTTAAAGAGGAAAACAAACCAAACAATCTGGAAAATTAAATTCAACATAATTAAGTAATGAAATTTCTTTTTGTAATTTGAAATACTCACAAAAATTCCAACAATCCCCACATATTTCAAAATACAAAGGTAAAGGATTTCAAGGGAAAGTGAGAACTGAATGCATCAGAACTGGTGTCTTTTGAATTATGAACCAGTCTTTGGATGAGTTAGTTGTATCTTACAAAAATTTGGTGAAAATAAAATTTTATATGAACCAAGATTTCTTTGTATGAAAAGGACTGACCACCCACATTAAATTCTCCGATTCAAGTTTGTTCAAGCAGGTTGGTGCGAATAGGCCATGCACCGACCTGGATATTCATCAGTGCTCTAGAGAGCATGTTTGAGCTCTCATAGAAAGCTGCCCCACTTCCACACTCATATAGGTGAATCCATAAGGAGTGCACTGCAATCAAGCACCCCACCCATAAGGTCTATGGTATTCATTAAGAAATAAGTTCAACCTTAAACGTTGCAGTATTGCACTATCTACACCATAGGGAGGACTCTCAAGAATATAAATTGATAGTGGACACCAAATCACCCAATGACTTGTTCTTACCCATATGAATATACTTTTTGGGATCTCCATTCACATAAATTGGGTTACCATCACTTTTGACTGATGATATAGACATAAGTCCCATCCCCCTCGATGTATTACTCACTAGCTTTCGGCGTAGTGGTTTTGTCAGAGGATCAGCCAAGTTCATCTATGACCTAACAAAAACTAGGGATATCAGTCTCAAGCATATATGCTTTTTTTTCCCCATTATAATATCTATTTGAGTTCAGGCTATTTGCAGCATGAATATCACAATGCATAGACACAGGCAAAGCTAGTCTCTTCCATAAAGGGATATCTAGCATGATTTTCTCATAATGCATAGACACTTCAAAGTTGGTCTCTTCCATTAAGGGGTATAGCCAAGAGGTTTTTAAGCTACTTGGCCTCAAATTCATCCTGCATGTCTATTAGAAATATTTTCTACAACATTGCACACAAATGATTAGTAGATTTCTTCTCAATATAATTAGAGATTTCATATGTATCGGTATACATTAAAGTATAACGGAAATTCATCATATATCAAATCTTATGATCAAGAGTACCTCTCAATTCTTTGGTACTCAGTTATGAGCCACAAGACTTTGAGTGCGCCTGTTGAACCTCTCAAATATTTTGGTACTCAAATATGAGTCTACAACAATCTATGAAATTTGAGTGCACCTGCTGAAGCTATGAACAACAGAATAACAATTAATTCATTAAATAAATTTAATAAATAATGAGTACTTCACGATACTCTTACTCTTTTTTTGTGCACTCCAAATGGCTGAAATCATGATCGCATATCCAAGTTGTCACTGTATCTTCTCAATTCTCAATAGGAACCTCTTTAAGACAATAAAAAGTCTCCACCAAAATTTTTATATCAAGACCATCACAACTCACACCCATTTTTATCATGTCAAAAATGAAGACAAAATGAATTAGTCTTAATAATAATACATCAACATATATTTTTTCCTTTATAAATCAATTGTGATCGTATAAGCAAACTTCACACAAATATCAACATATTTGCCATTAGTGCTCATTTACTAATTACTAAAAGTAATATCAAGGTTCTGAAAATAAAGAACCCCCACATTTTTAAATATGTCAACGTACAACGCTTTCCTTCTAAGTTTGCAACACAGGGCACCAAAAATTAATTTACTAAAGCAAAAGGATTGCAAGACAACAACCCCACAAGTTAATGAGATTTCTCAACCCCCACAAATTAGGGAAAGTCTCAAAATATGTTGAGACAGTTTGGCCTCAAAATATACCAGTTCAAAATCATCTTAATAAACATTGTAAATATGATACTGAAACCACCGAATGCCTCACATAAATAAAAACTACATTATTCACGTACCTAATAGGTCAATAAGCCTCAAAGGATTTAAGGCTAAAATACTTACACCAAAATTCAAAATTAAATGCCACTTATAGTGATATAAATTTATCATTTTATTTGAGTCTTTCCTATATACACTTCATAGAAATTGACTCAATGTGGCTCTTGTCAAGACTCGCTATTGTTCCCTCTCTATCAAAACAAATCCATTGCCAAACATTATTGTTTAATGGGCCTAAACGAATTGATAGTGAAATTGGTACTTAGGTGATGAGGGGTAAATTTTGCGACACAAACAAGACACAACAATACAATCAATCAAGAGAACACACAAAGCATGCCAATTACAAACTGGGGCTATAGTAGAAGGGTCCTTGGGTTTGGTTCTAAAAGCTTCTGCATTGTTCAGAAGAAGGCAGGTATGTTATATATGCTCACTATTTTATTGGAATTTATTGATTTGTTATTTTCTTTAGTGGGCATGTCTTACTTTCTTATCCAGTTTTCAGAATTTGTATGTTTTTCATAGAAAATGATGAAATGCTTTAAGATTTTAACATTATGGGTCCACTGCCTTTCCTATTCTGGTTATAGAATTCTATGGTTTTTGTTTCTTGGTTTGTTTTTGTTTGGTATTTATCTCATTTGAAGTCTCTAGTACTCTGAAGTCTGAATGATATTTGCTCAATGATGCTATTAATATGGGTTACTTGTAATTTTTGGAATTCTACTTATGCTGAATTGTTCATTTGATGCTTCGCTGCAATTTTTCCCTGTATTGGTCCAAAAAGAAGTCTTAATAAGTTAATCAACTTGTATATTCTGGTTAAAAAGAATTTTGATTTGGCATTGGTGTAAAACAACTTTAATTATTGCTGCATTGAAAAAACAAAAACAAAATGCTTAAATGTGTGGTGATTGGGCTCGTTACAGATTCGGATTATGGTAGTTCATCAGGGAGTGACTCAGATGATGATAATGCTCAGTCCTAGTTGTGCGTTCTGCATTGAATTGAAGGACATTGGAGAGAAGACCAATGTGGGGGAAGCTGGCTGGAGAGCATGCTTTCCATGTGGGAAGGGCCTTTTGAATGTTTAGTGGATCGTGTTGATGAGGTATGAATTGCTGATATTGCTTCTGTGAATTTATGATGCTGCTGCTGATCTTCTGTGGATTTATGGGGCTGTTGTTTTGCGGCCATGGGCTGAATTGCATATTTACTCTGTGCAGGTCTCAAAACTGAGCAAAAGTGAATTTGTGAACTTTGTTGTGTGGTGGTTCTTGCTTGCAAATTGGAAGAGTGAGCATTGGTTGTTTTGTTGGGAGGTGTAAAAAAAATTGTTGTAGGTGAGTAGGTAGTGAAACAGAGTAGTGGAAAGAAGAAGAGAGTTAGTGAGAGAAGTTTAGAGATTTGAAACACTTTGTACACAATTTACAGAGAGAGCTAGTACATAATTTTCCCCAATTACAGATGCTCTTGTGCCTTTTGTTGTCTTTTTCTATTTGTCCGACATCATTTGCTTGATCAATGAATGAAGCATAAGAGGCAAGGGACCTTTTTGGTGAATATGGCCACAACACAACTGGACCCCTTTCCCTTTTCTTCGAACAAACAGATTCTATGCCTACCATTTCATCAACGACGCTTTTTAACAAATACCGACGTCTTTGGATATAATAAAACATAGTTCTTTAAAAAAAAATCGTCGCCTTTACATCAAATAGACGACAGTTTTTTTCACAAAAACCGTCGTCTTTACATCAAATAGACGACAGTTCTTTAAAAAAACCGTCACCTTTACATCAAATAGACGACGTTTTTACGCAAAACCGTCGTTAATTATATGTAAATAGACGACACTTTTACGCAAAACCGTCGTCTATTTATATCTAATAGACGACGCTTTTACTCAAAACCATCGTCTATTTACATCTAATAGACGACGGTTTTGCGTAAAAGCGTCGTCTATTTACATATAATTAACGACGGTTTTGCGTAAAAACGTCGTCTTTACAAATAATAGATGACGGGGATTTACCGTCGTGGTTTTATGCATCAAAAGATGTTGGTCGATTTCACGACGGTTGAAAAACCAAATACACGACGGTGGATTACCATCGTCTATTTCAATTTTTGTAGTAGTGCTAATTACTCATTTTGTGGGTCTTAACCTGTTTTGATACATGACATGAAAGTTACAATAAAATTGGCCCTAAAAATTTGTTTAAGCCCATATTTAAATAAATAGGCCTACAAGGTCTAACTCAGTGAAAAAGGACATCGACTTGCAGACCAGATATCTCAACTTCGAATCTACATAGCATAATAGTTGTGTGAGTGTGTGAGAAATCCCCTTCCCTCTAATTTAGACTATCACTTGTATTAAAAAAACCAAACAAACAAATCCTTTCCCTTCGATTCACTAAAAAAATTATGTCTTTACATAATTCCTTTGGATATTTGTGTGAGCTTTAGAATGTCAACTAACGGTTAATCTAGTGGTATCTTCCTTGAGATTAATTGTTGATCGCTCTCTCATTACCATGTGGTGGTGCTTTATTCTAGGATGCCAATTAAATTACTTGGTCACCCAAATCCATTCAATAACGTACGTCCTTACCAGAATTTTAGTCACTCTTTACTCCTCATAACCTGCTCTAGCTTGAAAACCATTTTTCTTCATTTGGTTGTTTGCGTGTTTTTTTTCCCCTTCATGTTTTAATTTCGTTTCAAAATTTCATTCCTTTGCTTTGCGAATCACCAACATCAAAAGTGAGTCATTGCATTTTCTGCAAAAATTAAACAAATCCATTTCCGACTTCAATTCATTATACTTCTTTTCTTTTCTTTTTTCAGGATGCCTTCCACACCAGGTTTTAACAAAGAAGTCTTAATGGACATCCTTCTCAGGCTACCTCCGAAGCCCCTCATTCGGTTTCTTTGCGCGTGCAAATTCTGGAATGATTTGATTAGCAGCTCACTTTTTGTTACAACACATCTTAATTTAAATGCAACAAGACGTGACAACATTTTTCTACTTTGCCTCCACCACCAAGATTTTGAACGTAATTTCGATGTTGACGATCCATTTGTGAAACAAGACCTTCAATGGTCACTTTTTTCCAATGAAACATTTGAGCAGTGTTTCAAGTTAAAGCATCCCTTAGGGAGCATAGAGCATTACGGGATATACGGTTCAAGCAATGGGGTACTTTGCATTTCGGATGAAATATTAAAACCCAAGAGCCGTATACACATATGGAACCCAACCATTGGCAAGTGTAGGACTGTTCCGTTGAGCATCACCGATGACACGAAATTTCGCTACATTGCTCTCCAATTCGGGTTCCACCCCGAGGTTAATGACTACAAGGTTGTGAGGATGATGTGCACGGCCAACAAAGCATTCGCCGTCGAGGTTTATAGTCTTGCCACAAACTCTTGGAAGATGATTGAAGATGTTCCTCCTTGGTTAAAATGCACTTGGGAGCATCATCAAGGCACATTTTTTAATGGAGTTACATACACCATTATTGATAAATGTCCTATAATCACCATTGTGTCCTTCGATTCGGGCAGCGAAAAATTCGAAGAGTTTGTACTTCCTGATGCCATTTGCGGTACATGGGGGTTACACATTGGCATTTACAAGGAACAAATCTGCTTGCTCTATGGAAATTATTGCTGCGAGGAGGAGGGCATGGATAAAAATGATTTTTGGGTTCTACAAAAAAAAGGATGGAAACAATTGAGCCCTTTTGTTTTTTCTTCTGATCGCTGCTATTCAACAATGGGGATCAGTGTTGACGATGAACTCTTACTCGAAAAGAATGATTTCACAGTGGGTGCAGCAGATTTGTATTTGTGTAATTATGAATCCAGGCAGATTCGTGAAACAGGTATTAAGTTGGCCTACATGCGTTATGGCCAAAATGAATTATTGTTTGCAATTACTTACGTAGAAACTTTAGGTTTTCTCGATTATTAATGAGATATATTTCTAACTTGTGGCGCAACCAAGTAGATCTTTAGAGTGTTTTGATTTATTATGTATGAGAAAGTATTTAAGATGAAGTGCAAAGCATGGTTATATATTTTTCCTCTTATTTTTCCTGCACAAGTCGAGTTGCCTACATGATGTTTTTTTTAATCAGTATTGCCTACATGATTTAGGGATACAAAATTTGAAAATTATATTGGAAATGCTCTCACCACGATTACTGTAGCAAATAGTACAACTATATCGATATCATCTTAATATGTTGTCAATATTATTGTACTTAGGGACACCTCAAAACCTTGTTATCAATAGACAAAAAGCAGACAACCAACCACGAAGGATCACACACACACAACCATGACCTCCTTGAGAAATTTCACCAAAAGACTAAAAAAAAATTGTTTACAATCAAAACTCCATTTGCCCCTTTTCAAAACATAGCTGTCTTCTCACACCCTTACTCAAACCCACCCATTTTTTTATTTTTTTTTCCAAACGAAGAGAATTTTATTAAAGACGAAGAGAATTTTATTTCTCACACCCTAAACCCAATTTGATGCCCTCTTCTATTCTAAATTGTTTAACATAGCTTTGAAAAGTCCAATTTATACCATATAGGACTTGGGTTACAACTTAGAGCAGTTCCAACAGTGGCTTTTGCCATGGCAAAAGGCCTCATGGGCAGGAAAAGCTCATTTCACCAATCAATTGTAGCCGGGGCAGGATGTGGGCTCCACCAAGATTGGGCATGCCCAAAGGCAAGAATAACCCGAGCTGTTGCATGAGGGCGCTGACGTTAGCGAAGAAATAAATTAGAAAAAAAAAATCGAAAAAATTCTGAAAAATAACCAAAAAATTCAGAATTTTTTTTTTATACATACCTAACAATTTTTTATTTACTTGTTAATCTCATATATATATATATATATATAATTAAGCTCATGTGAATAGTAATTGCCCTTGGTTGTCATGGTAATGGGTGGGAAAGCAAAAAAAATTTGCTAGGGCAGATGCTATTCACGTGAACAGTAACCGCCCTTAATTTCTTACTAGTTACAATACAACTTGAAGTTGAAAACAAAACCCCTACACAATAGGCTAAAAACGACAAACAGGTAAGCTCACACGGCAGAAGAAATTCTCGCACCTCATTTCAAAATTACCAATTAGGTGCCAGAGAATTGCAACCACAATTTGCAAAAGACCACTTGGATGACAATTGCTAAGAGCATCTCCAAGGTGTCAAATGCAAAATGTTAAATTTGAATTTGATGGCTTATGTGGCAATTTGACACTTTAGAAAAAAAATTAACTCTATCCGAAATGCCAAATATCATATTATTTTATTATATTTCTAAAAACAAATGAGACTCATATGATGCATAAAGTTTAAAAGAGAGTAAATAATAATGGGGTCCATGACAAAAAAAATATTAAAATAATATTTGACATCAAGCTTTTTAATATGTTATTTTTGACATATCTCTTCCAACCTTCAAATCCATGTAAGATTTGACTACTCGGTTGGAGCAACTTTAACCTTCAATTTTTGTCATTTTATGTCCATGTGGCAATTTGACATATCAGTTGGAGATGCTCTAAAATGCAAGAAAATTTGTTCCTTCTTACTTAGTACGAATGTCACAAAAATGCCCGTATTTATCCAGTTTGCTGTTCTTCAGATTTATTGTTGCTGATTGCTTTCCCATTGTTATGTGGTGATGCTTTATTTTCGAACGCCAATTAAATTACTTGGTCACCATAAGAACTACCTGCCATGTGCTTCTTCAGGAAGCACTCCCAAGTACTTTTCCAAGAACCATTTCGATTTCTTATGAAAATTTCAACATCTTTATAATAAAAGCGATTTTGGTAGAAGAACTTATAAGTAGAAGTGCTTCCAAGAGAAGCAGTCCCAAACGAGCCCTAAGTCACTCTTTGCTCTTCATAACCTACACTGAAAGCTATTTATTGTAGTGATACCCCTCTCTTCAATGTTTGGAATGCTCTCGTATATTATATCACCTCGATAGCAAACAATCGAAGATGGTCTTGATATGACTTAATTAAAGTATAGATATTTTCAAATTAGACTACAAACCCTCCAATATTCTGGATATGTATAACCCAACTCCAACTGGTCGTGCCAGAAGTTACACATCTCTTCACCAATTAACAATTGAGTAAAATCAAACTTTCTATGTAGGTAAATACAAACAACAGCTGCTCAGGGTCATTTCTCGAGATGGCCAACTCAATCCCTGTCTCACGATCTTGCTTGGATTCATAGTTGCACAAATACAGAGCATTGCCATAAGTGCTTCTCTGCATTAATAGTTCATTATCTATACTAAACCCGACTACGAAGTAGTTGTTGGCAGGATAAATAAAAGGACGCATTTGTTTCCATCGTTTTTCTTGTAGAACCCAAAACTCAATTTGTGACATGCCTGCTTCCTCACAATGAAACAATCTCAAATAATAAAGCAAGCAAATTTGATCCTTGTAAACCTCAATATACAGCCGCGGCCAACATCTAATGGCATCCGGTGCTATGAACTCTTCGAATTTTTCGCTGCCCGAATCGAATGACATAATGCTGAATAGAGGAAATTTCTCGATAATGTGGTATGCTACTCCATTATAAAATGTACCCCTATGGTTCTGCCAAGTGCATTTTAACCAAAGAGGATGTTCTTCAACCATCTTCCAAGAGTCTGTGCTGAGACTATAAACTTCGACTGCGAAAGCATCATCTTTGTGGACGCGCAACATCCTTACAACCTTGTAGTCGTTAACCCCGGGGTGGAACCCGAATTGAAGAGCAATGTAACGAAATTTAACATTGGGGTTGGTGCTCATTGGAAGGGTTCTAAATTTCCTAACCGAGGGGTTCCATATGTGTATAGGGCTCTTGGTGTCCAATGTGTCATCTGAAATGCAAACTAGGCCATTGCTTGAGCCATATACCCTATAATCTTTCTTGATCCCCAAGGGATGGCTTAACTTGGAGCAATGCTCAAATGTTTCGTTGGAGAAAAGTGACCATTCCAATTCTCGTTTAAGATCTGGGAAGTCGTCGTAGTTTTCGTAGAACTCAAAAGGACGTTTGAGATCGGGGTAGTGGAGGCAAAGTAGAGAGACATGGAGGTGTTTGGTGACATTCCTGTTAAGCTGTGTGGTGATAAAACTCGAGTTGTTAATCAAATCACTCCATGACTTGCATGCACACAAAAATCGAACGAGGGTTTTTGCAGGTAGTCTAACTAGGATGTCTGTTAAGATTTCTTTCTTGCATAATCTGGTGGATGCCATCTCACGAAGAGAAAATCATAAGAAAAATATGTTAGAAAATTTAGAGTCCAAGGAAGCATTAAAATACACAGAGTTGTGTGAACGAGTCGTGTGGAAGTAATTCAATTGGCATCCTAAAATAAAGCATCACCAAAGGTTCATTTAGTGATACAAAAGAAAAAAAAGTTTATTTTTAATTTTAATTTTATTGTACCTTTTCTTGCAAAAAGAAAGAAATCATATATTCTTGGAATTAGCTAGCTCAAGTATAGAGGGGGGTTGCCTTAGCCTAGGAATAGAATCAAGTTTGGTCCTTTCAAATATAACCCAAAAGTAAGAAATTTTCTCAAATATTATGGAATGCATGGACACTTTCTTTATGTGCCCCAAACTTTTATGTGACACCATTTATATAAGAAGAAATTTATGCTAAGCCCATTAATATAAACAAATTTATCGACAATTTCTATATAAGGGTTGGTACACATTGTATGAACAATTCATGAATGTAAATCACTAATTTACCCTGGCGCGATCGATGTTTATATAATACTAGCCCCTTGGCACACACGCATGAGCGTGTGCTAATTGGTTTTTATTTATTTATTTTATTTTAATTTTATAATTAAAAATAATAATGGGTAGTTGTGTTCCATAAAAATAGGATCCATTATTTGATTTTGTTTTTTATTTTAAATTTCTTTAAATATAAAAAAGTGTGAATTTACCATATTATCTTCATTTAATTAATAATTTCAATTCATAATGTTTGCATTAATCAAGAAAATTTTATGGTATTTTGAATGTTTCATCATTGTCTGCCTTTTTTTATTTATTTTTTAAATGGGTTAATTTACCTAGAGGTGACTAGACTAGTGGCCAAGGCCCAATAAAAAAAGAAGAGGTTTAACGTTGCATCCCTGGAGTCTCATCCAGCGGTTGGGAGTTAATGCCAACTAGGGTTTTTTATTATTCATCTCTCTCTTCTCCCCTATATATAATTGCCCTCATTCTTCCTTCATTTTTTACTGCGGGTAGTCGGCACAGCCAAGCTTCTCAGGGAGACAGGTCAGGTAAGGGTTTACCACGAGCCCTAAGAATTCCGTTTACCACGAGCTATAGTCAACATAATTCTTACCCCGAGTCGTCTAGGACTAGCAAGTCATGATAGCTCTGTTTCATGTGATTGCATAACTGTCTAGATTTGTTTCCCAGAATTTGTTCCATGAGTAACTCAGGCTGCAATGGTTCCCGTTACATCCCTGAAGAAATCCTGATCAACATACTATCAAGACTACCGGTAAAATCTCTTATTCGGTTTATTTGTGTATGCAAGTTATGGAGTTCTTTGATTCGAAGCTCGAGGTTTATTGGAATGCATCTTAATAGGAATGTCACAAACCGTGCTCATGCTTTTATAATTGCCCTCCACGAAAGTAGACGCAAACCCAAAATTTGCTACACCCTTTTCTCTAATGAAACATTTGAGCCGTGCTTGAAGATTAAGCATCCCTTAACAGGGCCCAAAATTGAGATACATGGTTCAAGCAATGGCTTAGTTTGTCTGTCATATGAACTGGGGAATTTGGATACTTCTATATACCTATGCAACCTATCAATTCAGAAACATGTGGTCCTTCCTCCCACCAGCATTTTGTGCTTGCCCAGTCCTGAATATGTCACTTATGTTGCATTCGGATTCCACCCCGGGCTTAACGACTACAAGGTGGTAAGGTTGCTCACGTTTTCTGAGGGGAATCACTGCATTGAAGTGGAGGTTTATAGTTTGAGCACAAACTCTTGGAAGAGGATTGATGCAATCCCTGCTTCCATAAAGGCCATGGTTTTGCACTCTGATCAATTTGCAGTTTATAATGGAGTAGCATATTGGATTATGAAGAAAGAGGATGCTACTTATTGTTTCGTGTCTTTTGATACCGACAGTGAGGTGTTTGAAGAGTTTCTGCTACCAGATGCTGTTGTCGATGGAATTGAATCCATGCTTGATAATTGCAAGGAATTAATTGCGGAGTACAAGGGATCAATTTGCTTGTTTCAATCCAATCTAGATTTCAGGGCTGGTAATGACTACATTGACATGTGGGTTCTCCAAGAAAAGTCTTTCAAGAAGTTGCTGACTGTTTACCTTCCTGGAAAGAGGAGCTTTTACCCTTTGGCCATTAGAATGGGCAACGAACTCCTCGTGGGATACCCTTGTGGTAGCTATTTGTGTTCTTATAATCTTGAAACCAAGCAGGTTACAGAAACTGGAATTAAGTTGGCTGTGGATCGCTATAACGACTATCATGCGCGTGCTTATGTCGAAAGTTTAGTCTTGCTCAGGGAGTAGAAAGGGACGACTTAGAAAGAATGTTAATTATGTTTAGCTGATATGATTTCCCTAAAGTAACGTCTTCGTTAGAAGATGCACTTCTACATCGGTTTCTCTGTTGTTCTTTTATGTCCAGTTACATTGTGAGAAAGGTTTAATGTCTGGGTTGGTTTTTTGACAAACGCAGTAGTCTAAATGATATGCTCAATATGTGTTTTCTTTTTCCTCTATCTTGTCCTTCCACTTTCTTTTGCGTGGTATGTTTTATTTACATTACATCATATTGAGGACCTTTCCTATTAAGAGGGACGATAATACATTGAACTCACACACACAACACAGATATTAAGACTCGAACCCAGGACCTGACAAGAGGGAGCAATTACTCCAAACCACTACACTAGTGGATCCTTTGCTACTTTACATCATTTTGTTGCTAAAAAAATGTTGCATCTGTTTTTGTTCTTCGTGGATGGAATACTTAGATGTTGCCTTTTACAGTGGACAGTGCTTAAATTACAGGACTGCAGAGGATTGATTTGGCGTTACCCCCCTATTGCTGTTTTGTGGGGATGCTAAATTCCTTTAGCTGTAAATGCCTATAATATTCGGCCTTATGAGCATTTAGGGTTTAGTGAAAGTATAAAAACACAAAAAATTTTAACATGCAGAACAGTTACAGGGACGGTCATTTTCCTCACAATCTTGATAATGATGTTTGAAATTGAGCTTTGGTCCCTTCCCTTAGAGCTTGACAAAGGATGTTGAGTCACTTTGCATGAATTATGGTTATGGCCACTGGTACATATAAGAATCACTAGCAGTCAAGTTTTGCATGAGTATGTTTGTATTCAGGAACAACGATAAAAATTAAACATATACCTCAATTTACAAGATTTAGCTTCCATAAAGCAGAAAATAGGACAAATTTATAGATAACAGGTTAGATTCAAATCAGCGAATAACAGTGTATTTACACGATTAACCATTGACTAGAGTAATTTGAGGCCATAAAGACTTGGAAGTTCTTGTTGATCCCAGACTAACCCAAAATAAATCAGAAGAACAAAATAATCCAAGCAACTATTTACTTGTCTACTTAGTCTTTCTAAGTTCCCTGAGGATTTTCAGAAAAACTGTAATTTTATGATATAGAACCCCATTAGAAAACAACTAAAGAAGAGCAACATGGACGGAGATGTTATATTCAGAAGGCTAAATAAATAACAAAGAAACATGGAAGATAAAAAGCACATAAAGGTGTAGAATGCTCTAATGGGATCAAAAGCGCCCAAAAGAAAAAAAGAATATTCATGATAACATAAGTGTAAACCAACTACAAGTCAAATAAATTGCCAACAACAGTATAGTCGTTAGAACTAGATGCAATCAAAGTCCAGCAGCCTTAAGAAGCTAAAACCAGAAAGTTGGCAGCAAGTATCATAACTAACTTCATAACGCACCTCCAATGGGATGTCTCAAAACTCCTGAAAAATACACTTGTTCTGTTTGTATTGATCATTGTCTCGGCCCAAGATGCCCAAGTGTTTAAAGCTGTCTTGAAGGCAGTGGTGATTGGCATTCCAAGCTTCAGTGATTTACCCTCTTGAAAATAGCAGCCCCTGTCTGGAGAAATGTTAGACTTGCTTTGTTTTCTATATTTTATTTTTTGGTCTCTGTGTGTCTGTTGGAGCATTTTTGAAACAAAAGTGCTACAAGCACTCTCAAATGTATTTTGGGAATCTCTTCATAACAAAAGCTAAATCTGAACAAACTTGTGGAAATCTGATTGAGACCCAATGGTATGTTGAAAAAACATAATCATTCATACAAAAAAAAATTAAAAATTGGAGGTGCATATAAACTAACAGAAAATAACAACAGAAGACTACCCAACTTGCAAGTTCATATGCATTTGCTCAGACAATCCCGAACACATGAGTAGGTGAAGGAGAGGGAGAGAGAGAGACCCGCCAACATAGCACTAAGAAGTTGAGTATGGAAAATAGCAAATAGGGTCTGAAGTACAATGTTTAAATAACCTTCATTTATGCATTTCTATCCAGCATTTATCTCCAAATACGTCTTTGAATTATAATTCAAAGCCCCACCCCTTAGCTGTTGAAATTTTTTAAATTTCTTTTTTGCCTTTACTTGTAAATGAAATTTACTAGCTCATTTACAAGTATCATACAAAGCATATATATCATCTACAATTTATACAAGAATCATAACAGCTACAGAATTTGCATCACCAACAAACTTCAACCAAGACTTTGGCCGCATCAGCACTAAGGGAAATTCTACCTCTCCTGGCAAAGTTAACCTTCTTAAAGGGCGCTAACATGCAGAAGGCCTTCAAATCTTTTTATTAATAATAACTAACATCCACAGGCCTTAAAAAACATCCTCTCTTTTAGGAAACGATGAATATGTTGGACTCCACTGCATTAATCAACATCTATACCAAGAAACGTGGAGTATGAATGCTTGATGCACAAGCAGTTAACAGCGCAGATTCTCGGAACTGAATGTTGGAGGGGTGAGGGATTAAAGATGAATGTACCAAAAATATATAAACATGAAGCAACTTGGTCAACATCAGACAGCATTCTACAATAATACCTAAAGGTAGACTAAGTAAAAAACCCTCTCTCTTAGGTAAGATAAAAAGTTGAAATCCAGTACATGCATTACATTTTGTGCATTTATGAACATCTATACCAAGAAGCATGGAGCATGAAAGCATGATGCACAAGCAGTTAATGGTGAAGATTATGGAACCGAATGTAGGGGAATTTGAAGAGAAATGAATCACATAATTATAGAATCATAAACTAACTTTGTAAACTTTGTTAACATAGAAAAGCATCCTACAAAAATAACTGAAAAGTAGACTAAATATATACACCAAATACAGGATTTATGAAAGACAATGATCAGGAGACTAGGTAACTCACATTTCAAAAAGTTTACTTGGTGTCCACCAGTGCCCTGAATTGAAAATCAAAATATCAGAATCAATCCAGTCTTTGCTAATTTCATCCAATTTGTCAACTCTGAGCGTTGACTTAACCCTCTTTGGTGCTCGGTTTGGAGCTGAAGCCGGCTGCACTAGGAAAACTGACCGATAAAAGTCAATTCTGAGATCAAACGAACTAAACCGTACGGCTAAAAATCTAATCCGCTTAGTGATTTTATTCCCATTCACTTCATAAACACTCTTCTTATCCTCCAACCCTGTCATGAGTAAACATATCAAAGATTCCCACTGTGTTCTACCTAAAGAGTCACCAACAAAAACAATCCGTTTCCCACGAAGAGTTTCAAGAACTGCACGCACATCAAATCTAGGAATATCACAATTCTTTGGCTTCCACCTCCATTTAGCATAACCCTTATCTTTCCGCCCATTAGCCAAGCAATTAAATCCAATTTCTGCAAATGGGCATTGTGAGGCATTGTACAAAGGGTAACTTTCATCTGGAATCCATCTTCCTTCAAAAACATTACATTTTTCAACAGAAGTAGTGGAATTAGAAATTCCGTAGCTATGAACCACTGGGGGAACCCTGGGAAACAAATACAAAAATGCACATGACATGGCAACAACAAAAGACACCAATGAGCCAATTGCAACTAGTCCATTGAAAGTTTGAAAACCCCAGATTTTACCATGACCCTTCATGATCTCATTACCAAAATTCAAAACCCTTTTGTAGAAAATCCTGAATTGAACAAACAAGTCCAAATTAACGTTTCTCACTATCTCCATCATTTAGTAAAGAAACCCAGATGAAGAAGAATCCCAACTGAAATCATATATGAGACATAAAAGATTAGGCAACCCATAAGAAACAAATTTATGTATTAATAAACCATCAATAAAGTATGAAAATTGAGGCAAGACTTGGAACTGCCTACTAACCAATACAAGATCAGCTACATCACAGACCAAGAACAAAAATTGCTAACTTGAAGAAGACCCATCAAGCAGAGAGCCCAAAACTGGCAAACAAGCAAAGTAAACAGCAAGCTTACAGATTCACCAACTGGGTTTTGCAAGAAAGCACTTGGTTGTGGCTTTGACTGGTTCTGCCAGAAGAGAAGAGAAGAGAAGAGAAGGTTGTTTGGTGGAGGAGCAAATGGGAAATAAAGGTGAAGGATGATGGCATTTTTGGTTAACTTAGAACCTGGTTCATGTTGGTCTGAGTGAACGTGACCTCTCAACTGAAATGTTCAAATGTGGAAGATTGTTCTGTTATTTGCAAAGCGACTCTTGTCGGTGGGTTCTTAAGCGAAAAACAATGCTCAGTTGGCTTGAACACGTGGGATAACTCCATTGGCTGCGCTGGGCCGGACTCGTGAGCGCTCTTGTCTTTTGGACTGTAGTTGATGGATACCTTGTCTTTGTTCCGTTTATTTTATTTACAAGCAAATGATAAATAATTTATTTTTAAAAAAATACTATTTCTTTCTAGCAACTGTGGATTTTAAGGTCCGTCGAATTTCTAATTTTACTATTTATTTGAGGTTGTTTCATTAATAAATAAATAAATTGAGTTCACAACCTACCCCATTAAATCATCTACGTATAAAAATAATAATTTTTTCCATTGAAAAACAACTGAATCATAGCATTGAACATAAATCTCAAATGACGAGGTTTTAAGTTCAAGTCCTTTATTCCTCATTGATAAAATAAAATAAAATAAAATGTCTGAAAACATGAAGAGAGAAACTAAAGAAAAGTATGGAATCTATTTATGAACTCTACGCATGCTAGACCTTTTTTCCAATCTGATTTTCACCCTTGGCTATTAAGCAATTTGTGTTCCAAGGCTCACTTTGCTCAGATTCCATGGAGAATTATGTTTATTTTCATTTGCTGGTATATTTGGAAATGGAGAAATGACTTTATTTTTAAAGATAATACTGACTTGCCTTTCAATCCCGAAGATTTTATCTTTACTGCTGCAAAGGATTGGTTTCAAGCCATTGCTGGTAATAATAGGGGAGCTAATAAGGTGCAAGTGTTGTTGGCTTGGGTTCCTCCTGAAATTGGTGTGATCAAGTTAAATGTCGATGGATCTCGCATGAACAGTACTGGTGCCATTGGTGCTGGAGGTGTCTTGAGGGATCATTTGGGTCAGTGGATTGGTGGATTTGCTGTCAACTCAGGCCAGGGAGAAGTTCTTGAAGCTGAGTTGTGGGGGCTATTTTTTGGGATGAACTTGGCTGTTGAGAAAAAAGTAGAGGATATTGTTATTGAGATGGATTCTGAGACTGCGGTGCTTCTTGTTCAGAGTAAGATTTTGAATGCTTGTCATCCTAATGCAGGGCTGATTAGTAGCTGTAAAAGACTTATGAACTTGTTTCGAAGGATCAAGCTTCAACATATCTATAGAGAGATGAATGATGTAGCTGACGGGTTGGCTACTTGGAGTCACAATTTGGATCTAGGCTGTTACTATCTTGAGGAGAGCCCTGCTTGGCTTGATTTTTTATTGCTTAATGATTCTTTGGGAACTGTTAAGTCCCGCCTGATTAGTTCTAGTTAGTTGCTGTGTTGGTGCTTGGGGTTTCCCCCCTTTTTCTTCATCAAAAAAAAAAAAAAAAAAAGTATAAAAACACACTTTTACCAAAAAAGAAAGTATAAAAACACACTAGTATGAACATACGTTACAAAATTGTAGCAAGTCCCTTCAAAGGACAAAATAAACTAAAAACACCTAATCTACTTAATTAGTAGCCCAATTGAAAAGTATGTTGGGCTACTTATATTTGATATATATAAAGACAATTGCGGAGAATGGTGAAATATTTATAATGTCACAAAATACTTTTAGTTAGAAAATAAAACTATTCATTAAATGAGAATAAATAATAAATTATAATTTTTCATATAAAAAAAATTAAAATTAAAATTAAAATGATAGCATGGGTCCTATTTTCTTATGACACAACTAGACCCATTTTATGTTTCTTACTTCTAAAATGTAAAAACTAAGATATACAAAATAATAAATAAAATAAAAACAATAGTTACATGTGTGTGTACAGAGGCTAATATATATATATAGAGTGCTTCCATTAAGGGATTCTTCAAATAAGCTTATTTGAGAGACACTCTTGTAGGACCCACTTCGCTTGTATTTCACTAATCCAAACCCTCTATTTTGTAGATATTCATTCAAAGATCATCTCTACAAAAAATAACTTGAATCCGATATCATTTTACCATGCAATTAAATTATTGAAATTTAAGTTCTTTCTTGAAGCACCGTGCTCATTGATTTTGTTGATCTCAATTAGATGTCTTAATGATTTTCAATTTGTTTGATTTTTTGCAAAGAAGATCTATGAATGTCAAGGTAATGGGGCAAGCAACACATTTGAGAGTATTTAAGGTGTGCAAATGAGAAACATATCATTTTTTACTCCCTTTCCCCCCTAAAGAGAAGGGGAGGGGAGAACACTTCAATTGCTAGGAGAACGCAAGCACAGGTCACAAGAAAACTAGGCTCTGATACCATGTCAACTATACTAATTTTCATACATTTCAGATTTGTTAGATATCTCATATTTTTATATTCTTCTCCAATATGGAGGGTATTTTTTTATTTTTTATTTTTTTTTGGAGAGAAAATATGGAGGTATTTATAAGGAAGTACAAAGATGTGCTAACCCTAAATAACATAGGAAATAAATCTAAATTACAATATGACACAAATCTCAATTACAATAGGACTAAATAAATAGGTAAGTAACCAAAATCCTAAATAAATAAGAAACCAAAATCCGAACTAAATAAGAACTTGCCAGCACTATAAATATACACTCACTCATGCAGTCTTATTGTGACGTAATCATCTTTGTGTGTGTGTTGTCCTCAAAGTGGTTTTTTGAATTTAAGCTTAACGCTTGAAACAGAACACTAAAGTTTTGTAGGAGCAAACATCCTTTCTAACCTATCTCATTTTAATCTATTTGATCAGGATGAGTAACTCAGGCTGTGATGGTTCCCATTACATTCCTGAAGAAATCTTTATCAACGTACTATCAAGACTACCGGTAAAATCCCTTATTCGGTTTGTTTGTGTATGCAAGTTATGGAGTTCTTTGATTCGAAGCTCTTAGGTTTATTGGAATGCATCTTAATAGAATGTCACAAACCATGCTCATGCTTTTATAATTGCCCTCCACGAAAGTAGACGCGAACCCAAAATTTGCTACACCCTTTTCTCTAATGAAACATTTGAGCCGTGCTTGAAGAGTAAGCATCCCTTAACAGGGCCTAAAATTGACATACATGGGTCAAGTAATGGCTTAGTTTGTCTGTCACATGAACTGGGGAATTTGGATACTGCTATATACCTATGCAACCTATCAATTCAGAAACATGCGGTCCTTCCTCCCACCAGCATTTTGTGCTTGCCCTGTCCTGAATATGTCACTTATGTTGCATTCGGATTCCACCCCGGGCTTAACGACTACAAGGTGGTAAGGTTGCTCTCATTTTTTGGGGGGAACAACTGCATTGAAGTGTGAAGTGGAGGTTTATAGTTTGAGCACGAACTCTTGGAAGAGGATTGATGCAATTCCTGCTTCCATAAAGACCCTGGTTTTGCACTCTGATCAATGTGCATTTTTTAATGGAGTAGCATATTGGATTATGTTCAAGGATGCTACTCGTTGTTTCGTGTCTTTTGATACCGACAGTGAGGTGTTTGAAGAGTTTCTGCTACCAAATGCTGTTGAACCGATGCGATATTATTGCAAGGAATTAATTGCGGAGTACAAGGAATCAATTTGCCTGTTGCAGTCCAATCTAGATTTCAGAGCTGGTAATGACTACGTTGACATGTGGGTTCTCCAAGAAAAGTCTTTCAAGAAGTTGCTTACTGTTTACCTTCCTGGAAAGTGGAGATTTTACTCTTTGGCCATTAGAATGAGCAACGTACTCCTCGTGGGATATCCTTGTGGGGGGCTATTTGTGTTCTTATGATCTTGAAACCAAGCAGGTTACAGAAACTGGAATTAAGTTGGCGGTGGGTTTGCTTTAACAACTATAATGCACATACTTATGTCGAAAGTTTAGTCTTGCTCAGGGAGTAGAAAGGGACGACTTAGAAAGAATGTTAATTATGCTTAGCTGATATGATTTCCCCAAAGTAATGTCTTCGTTAGAAGATGCACTTCTACATTGGTTTCTCTGTTGTTCTTTTATGTCCAGTTACGCTCAAGAAAGTTTTAACCGAATTTTTTATTCCTTTTTATTTTTATTTTTATAACAAGCGATATTTGAACTACAAGCCCTTTGCTTACATGGATTTATCAGAGTATGACGATTATTAACTTATGGCTTACAGCTCCAGAGTGATGGCTTTGGTTTTCAACCATTCGTCTGAAACTACTGTCATATCCCAAGTTTGCAGACAGCACAACAGGAAAGGATGAAAACTTTCTACCAAACACAACCCAACAAGTAGTCATCCTATAACAAAGTAAAGAGTATAACCACATCCAATTACAATACAACCTGCAGTGTTAATGCTGGTGCATAGAAGAAAAAAATGAAGACAAACTGGCATTTCAAAAACATGCCATAGGATTACAAGAAGCATTTGCTCCATGACAAAATGAACCGAAACTATCAACGTGGAGGCTACAGAAATTAAATTATAGAAAAGGGCACTAGAAATCATGATCAACTGTTAAATAGGTGAATAAATATCAGAACTGCAGACCCAATAAAATAAAGAGGAATCGGAACTCCAGATGTACACAAAATCATGTTGGAACTGAGAAAGGCTTATTGCTCTTCAAGTGCAGAAGAGATCCAATTGGAGGCAGCTGTTTGAGTTTCTGACTCAAGATGTGGTGAAAGAGAGAGAGGCGTTACCGAGACCTGTTGGTTCAAATTAGAAGAAAGAGTCAGCCACCTTGTGAACAAATAAAATATGTTTCTAAGACAAACATTTACATTCATCTATTATACCTATCATCTAAAAGAGTTCGATAGTTGGGTCTTCAAAGACTACCTATTTCAAATCTTTAGTAAATACCCTACAACAATAGGTAGGGCTTCAACTTACACAAAAGACAACGACCATTCAACCATAAATAGGGACCTCTATTGAAACCATTTAGTGGCATGGAGCCCTTCCTACGGCACTTTCTATTATTTCTTTACAATAAATATCAGATGCAAGCCAATTTTACGACAGGATCATCTTACAATAACACGTGGGGTCAAAA